CATCCTCATACTTTTGCTGCAGCTCCTTCCAGCTGACAGGCTTCTCTGTTTCTTTGAAGCTTTTAGAGCTTGAGATGGACTGGGTTTTCTGCATGAAGTGTGAGCCCCATGACTTGTCCAAAAGCCATGCCCTGACCACTGCACCTTTTTGTGCATGCTTTTGCCCTGCTGGGGCCTGACTTGCTGTCTCCCACTGCTCCTTTGCCTCTGAAGGGGCCGACTTCAAGGCATGCAGGAACTTGCTGCTCAGCTGCTTCTGCTCAGAGGTTTCCAACTCCAACTCTGCATCTGGATTTTCCCCATGCACCCTGTCCTTCCACAATTGGATCTTCTCTTCCAAGGAAATTGTGGCCACCTCATCCCTCACAGAAGCAGCTGGCTTTTTGAGCACGGCAGGCTTTTTGATGACATTCTTGGGCATGCTGGCCAAGTGAAAAGCTTCGAACAGTCCAGTTGAGCCACTAATGAGCTCCAAATCAGTTCAATTCAAATATGATGTGGCATGTTCATTTTCTGAAATTTATCTGAATTTTATCTGAATTCCATCAAGTTTTCAGACAAAATACTTGAATTTCAGAAAATTATCTGAAAAGTCGTTGGAATTCAGACAAATTTCAGACAAAATTCAGAAACCAAAGCCTGCCACGATCCCCAAAAAAGGCAAAGCCCCACCTCCCACCAGCAGCCGGTCACAGCCAGCGAGTGCCTCTGCAAGCCATCTTTGCACCTTTGGATTGGCATTTCTCAGCCATTGACATGGCATTTGTCAGCCATTGACATGGCATTTTTCAGCCATTGACATGGCATATTTCAGCCATTGACATTGCATGTTTCGGCCATTGGCTTGGCATCTTTCAGCCACTTGATCCCACCTTCCCACCAGCTCCAATAACCCACCATCCTGAATGGCATCTTTCAGCCAGCAGACATTTGTTGTTTTACAACTGTGGCATTTGCAGCCACGAGTCCAAGCCACGCTGGCAAAACCCAAGCACAATGCAGGCAAGCAGCTCCTTTTTTTCAAAAACCCACAGCTGCCACTCTGGCTACAAAAGCTGTCACTGCCCAAGGCCCCTCATCAGGAGCAGGTCCACCCTCCACTGCAAGTGCCAGATGGCATCTTGCATCCTCTGGATCTGGTAGCTGAGGTCATCCTCCACCCTCCAAGGAACTGCTGGAGCACTGATTGCGGTGGCTGACCATGCCCTGCCACAGTAAATGCAGGTTGACCCTTCTGCCAAATTGGTCACCCACACCCAGCTCCTCCTGCTTGGCCCGCATGCAACTGAGTCGCATGTCAGGTACATGGTCTCCTGCAACTGGTTTGCCATAGCTGCAGCAGACAGACTCAGACAGGGGTTGTGCAGCTTAGAGCAAAAGGGCTCAGGCCACACACACACGCACTGCATCACATGGCTGGACATGCGAAAATTCTTCCAGTCCTTTGTCATCATGTGAATCTGGCTCACTTTTCCACACCGACCCTTGTGTACTGCACAGTGCCTTATATGAAGTGGGCCCATTTGCTACACAGTCTTAAATGCCTTTCATGGCCTCAACCTGTGGCCTACCCATGCACCACCATGGGCCCACATGCATGGCACTACGATCAGCGCCTTCCTGCAGCGCTTGCTTCTTCTTCTGAGAAGCCCCTACTCTCAGCCAAGCACTTCACCAGCTCTGCCATCTCCATGTGCTTGGCTTCCAACTCATTCCTGAGCAGCTGCTCCTTCTCATACTGCTGGGCCTGCATTTCACTCCTCTGCTTCAGGAAGAAGTTCTGCCTACTAGCCACCAAATCCATGGCTTGATTTGTCTCCTCCTTTTGCAGCCTCAGCTCCAATTTGAGCTCTGCGTGCTGCTCCATTTCAGCGTCCTTATGCTCAGCGTGCATGGCCTCCTCTTCATTCTCTCCTCCAAGCGCAGGCTGCTCAGCCCAGCCCTTCTGAAGATTCCATGCTTTCCATTCTTCAGGAGTCCACTTCTTCTTGGAGCTGCCAGCGCCATCTTCTTGCCGTCCATGGCCTTGCCATCCAGAGCCTTGCCCTCCATGGCCACCGCCTTGCCCAGAAGATTGCCCTCCAGGCCCTCCATGCCCTCCATGGCTTTCTGGATAAATGTGGTTGATCACCACAGGCAGGGAGCCCTGCTCATCCATCCACTCTGGAAAACTCATGTAGCCTCACCAAGCTGCTGATCATGCAGAAAAATGCACAGACATGCCAAGAGTGCTCCCATCCACAATTGCTTTAACAAAAATGACAAGCTAGCTGTTGTGCTCTATGGCTGCCTTAATTGGAAAAAATGGCCACACAGGTTCAAGCAACCATCTGTTCAAGCCAAGGGGCTGCTGGCATCATCCTCACTGTAGGCCCCTCTGAGGACAGTCCTCAGCTTCCTGGCACCTTTGCCATGGTTCATGCCATGCCCTTGTACTTCCCCTTGCCCTTGCCCCAGGAAGGCTGGTGCCAATCCTCATCCCATCCAAAGCCCTTGCCCCACGACATGGCTGACTCCTGGATGGCGTGCAGTTCGAGTACTTGAGCATACATGCTGCCCTCATGCCTTGCTGGCCTTGCAGCGCACAAAGCAAGATTGGAAAAGGTCCAAGGGCTTCACCTTGTTTAGAGGCATGTTTCAGCCTTTTCCCAGCCACACACTTGTGTAACCTACCTAGCAGCATTGAAAAAACCACTTTGCCATGGCCATTTCCATCAATCATCGTCTAGCCTACTTAATCAGGCATGTGACAGCCTGCACATCAAGGCATCTCCCAGCCTATTTTTCAAGCAATGCTCATCCTGTCCTCGTAGGCAATTTTTCCCAGCTCATGTTTAGGTGCACTGCGCCTGTTCTTTAGGCATGTTTCAGCCTGCAACAAAAACAGTTGCCACCATTGTGGAGTATATATTAAATCCAAGGACGCAGCCAAAGCAAGCTTGACACATTTTCCACCATGTGCAGGCTCTGGCTCCAAACTGCAGAAATGCTAGCCCCCCCCCCTTGCACCCAGCATGAAAGGTGCATTGCGCCCCAAAATGCTGCCCTGCAGGCACTATGTTGCTATGCAAGCAAAGCATCTCTCAGGGACACTGCCGTCCCCTGGTCAAGCTTGCCCATCTCCTCCATGGTGGATTTGATCTTGTTCATGATCTTGAAGTGGGACTTGCTCTGCTTCTCATTGATGCAAACCAAGTGTTTCTTTTTGCCACCCTCCAAAACTTGTAGGTATGTCCTGCCTTTGGCTTTGGTCAGGTAGATCTTGGAGCAGCCTTCTCCCTCAGCAGCAGGTTCCGTGGAAGAATGGCCTGAACTGCCTTCTGAGCATGCTTCCTCAATGGCAAGAGCCTTGGCCTTAGCCTTTGCCATCTTCTTCTTGTTGCTGCCTTCTTGGCAGGCACAGGGCTGCAAGCCAGTGCTTCAAAGTCAAGGCCCACATCAGACTCAGCCATGCTCTCTGTGCCAAGAGTGCTGGTGCTTGTCCCTTTGTAGGGTAAGTCTTGCACCAGCCTTGCAAGCTGCTCTAACTGCTCCTTTTCTTTCTCTGTCAGGCTGCTCTGGGCTTGCCTCATCCTCACCTTGCTGTTCTTGACCCTTCTGAGGTGGGCCATCACAACCAGGATCCTGCTTGCCACCCACCCTGCCCATCTGTCCAAGGACATGCCCCTGTCTGACAAAACTGGGAATTGGTTGCTGCATTCTTTCACAGCCTCTTTGAGATCTGTGTAATTGAACAGGCCACTCTTGCTGACAGCCAGCAAAGACATGATCAATGCCTCCAATGCCAGCAAGCCAGCACCTTTGACAGCATTGTTCAACAGCACCCCCTTGTAGCAGCCAAAGCTGAAAGCTTTGGAGGTGCCTTCTTTCTTGGTGTGCTCTATGAGGTTGTTGACCAGCAAGGCTTTGCTGCAAGTTGGTGTGGGCAACCTCTTCACCGTATGCTTTTTCACATGGTGCTTCTGGCTGACACCCAACTTCCCCATGGCGGGATTGCAGGCAACTACCTATAGGCAGGCTTGATCCTGAAACAAATGATTCCCCCATGCAATCCAACACATGCCAAAAGCATATGATGTTCTTTCTGAGCACATGGGCTGGAATGCTTTGCTGGGATGCATATCACAGCCTCTCAAACTCATTTCACTACGATCCTGAGCATGGCATATTTCAGCCATTTTGGCCCTGTGCATACTCATCAATTTCAATATTGCCAAAAGTCATTTTTCAAGCGCGGGCTTTGAATATTCTATGAAGTCCGAGATTGAAATCATCGCAATTCAGTATCACAATCATGGAAAATTAGCCTTAAACCAAGATTTCAAGCGCACCATGAAAAATGCAGAAAACCAAGCGCAAGAATGGTTTTTTTCAATCTTAGAGGGTTTGGGTTCTTTCCTTTCTCGAGAGTGCCCCACGCTCCCTCTAGTTGCATGCCCTCTTCCATAGATGGGATGTCTTCCGCGATGCCCTCCGCCCTTGCCTTCTCGACCGTAGGGTCCACTTTCTCGTTCTCCCGGATGTGGTCCCACGCTCGCCGGTCTACCTCCACGGACACCCGCAAGACCCCCTTCAGCATGTTCTGCAGGCCTCCTTTCATAATCTACCCGAGGATTGCCTTCATATTCTCCGCAATGATGGCCCTCACCTCGTTCACGTTCAGCATGCCCTCGTTCCGGATGCTCCCGAGGATGCCCTTCGCCATGTTCTCGACCCCACCCACGATGCCCTCCTGGATAATCCCCATGTCGAGCTTCAGGAGGCCACCCTCCAAGAGGTCCACGATGGCCATCGCTACCGCTTCCTCCTCCCTGTTCTGCATCACCTTTTGATCAGTTCTCCCTTTCCAGGTCCTCCTGCAAGCTCCGTTTCACTTCGCTCGAGCAGGGCCTGTTGCTGGAAAGGAGGAACAGCACGATCAATCAGCTGTTGGAGCACTTCTGTGGGTGTCGACGAGAACGCGACCGGATGTAGCGTTCGCGGTTGGCCAGGCATCGAGGATGGTGGCGAAGTACCCGCAGAAGGCACTCAGCGTGGCAAAGCAGATCCTGGGCTACCTGAAGAACACGGATGACGTGGGCATCATCTACCAGAAGAGGATGGAGCCACGGGATGAAGAGGCAGAGTTTCCGGGTCCTCGGAGTATGGGAACGTTGGAGATACAGGCGGATGTGATGGTCATGTATGGAGGCGGAACCATTGCGTGGGAATCAACCAGGCAAGCCTTCACCACTTTGTCAACAGCAGAGGCGGAATTGACGGGCTATGTGCAGGCGACGGCAATTGGAGAGGCGGTGGCAACGCTGGTGGAGTTGCTGGAAGGATCAAAGGTCAAGAAGATGATCCTGGGGGACAATGCGGCAGCAATCAGCATTATCACAACGCCGGCGTGTGCATGGCGGTCAAGGCACTTGAGATGTCGAGCTGGAAGGTTGGCAGAGCTGATAGAGGAGGAGGAGTGGAGATTGAGGCATCTGCCAGGGACTTTGTTGGCGGATGGATTGACCAAACCGTTGGCGAAGATCCAGTTTGAGAAGTGCAGAGGAGGAATGGGCTTGGAGGTGATAGAGAGGAAGAAGGTCAAGAAGGCGTTTGGGGAAAAGGTCATCGAGAAGGTTGGTGCAGCAGGATGGCTCGCGGTGGATAAGTTGAAGGCTGTCGTTGGCATGCTGAGTCTGGTGGCAGTTGCGAAGGCCGAAGATGGGGAGGAGCCGGAACTGGAGGGGGTGTCGCTGGAGGTCATTCTGACGGTGATCGCCATCCTGGTGGTAGTGATCTGGGAACTCACCAAGAAGGCGTGTGGTCTGGGAATGAAGAAATTGAAAAGACCGGTTGAAGACCCCGATAAAGAACTGGCAAGACCGCATGAAGAGGCCAAGAGACAAGGATTTGGGGACGGACAGGACAGGGACTACCTTTGCCTAAGCAGGCACCCAAATCCTTGAAGGCGATCCAACCTCAGGCAAAGGCCTCAAGGGACGATCTGGTAGTGGTATGCCATGTGGAGGTCGAGTCCCGGTGCGGGCAACAAAAAACTGGAGACGGAGAGGATGGAGTACTACCGCGAGATGGAGAGAAAGTCAGAGGAGCGGTGGGAGTTCCTTCAAGCTCGTGCTCAAGGTGAACCTCTTGGGGGTCTTCAAGGGAGCCTGTGGAGGGCTGATGAGCATTTGCGAGGAGGTCCCATCGAGGTGGTGGAGACGAGGAGCCAGCCGGCTGGGCAGAGCTCGGTCTGCAGGGCCAAGCAAGGATGTCAAGGAGGAGGAGACTCAGCCGCGGGGGAGCTCATGCACGGCAAGAGCTGGGAAGGTGGTGCTGGGCGAAGACAAGGAGTGAGGACCGCACGGTCTGGGGGCTGGTAGGCCGGTATGGGTGCAATAGACACCCAGGGGGAGTGTGAATCCCCAACTTTCATGGCTCAAGAAAAAGGAACACAAAACACGGGGCACCTTCAAAACACACGCCCAAAACGCCGTAGCTTGTGAGTCTCCTGTTTTTTTCTTTGAGGCTGTGCTGAAGATTCTGTGCCTCGCCACCCACGATGCTGCGGCCTCAAGTTAAGGAGGGCTCCTGATGGACTGCTCAGTTTTTTTGTCTGGAGTTGGTACCCCTGCTTTCTAGGGGTTGATTCCTTGTCCATTCTTGTCAACCATCGTTCTTTTCAACAACCAGCTGTTTCCCCGGGGTTTTTGGTGGTTTTCTGAAAGAAGGATCCCTGGGAAGAATGGGGAAGCTACCCCTAGATTTTTGTGGTCCCAGTTGCCCAGTGGATTCCGCCCTTTTTTCATTTCTTTTTTTGGGGAAGAATTCCTCGAAATACTCAACTGACCAAAACGCAGGCCGATTCTGTTTTTCCCAGGGCCACTGGGCATCTGAGTGGTGAAGGAAAACCAAGAGGAACACCGAAGCCATTTTGGGGGTCTCCAAAAGAAGATGCCGTATTATGGGTATGCGTCGAAGTGGGGACCCCACAAGTCGTGGGGTTTTCCTATTGGTGTCCCGGTCAAAGAAGGTGCAGGGGGGTACCCTTCAAATGGCACACACACACACACCATATTGCTCTGTTGGGTGGATTGAAGCATCAGCGGTTGGGCCAGTGTGCCCTGTGTTATCCTGATGCAAAGAGTTGCGCATTACTTTGCTTTGCGACGATTCAGGTTGGATTGTTTTTTTGTTCCTGCGTGTACACTTGTATTTTTCATGTATGCAACATGTGCTCAACACGTATTCTTATGAAGCACATGTTTGTGTGCAGAAAGGGGAAGCCGAATTAAAATTGCATGAATCTGGCACAATAATATGGGTTTGTATCCAAATAGGGGAACCCCTAGAACACGCAACCACATACGGGGGGTCGAAAAACAAGCTGCTTGAAGCCAGAAGAAGTTAAAGTGAGAGGAGTATCTTAGACGCTGCGATCTTACGCCACTTTAGTGTTTGCAAAGAACAGGGGCATCCACTTATCAGATTTCGTCGAGGTTCCGGGGGAAACGCATTTCTTTGCACGCAAATATCAACTTCTTCACATACATGAACATTGCGTTCGACACCCGCTTCCCAAAGAAACAGGCAGTGGAAAGGGCTTCTTTCCAACGTATATAACTAGTACTATATAGTTCCAAAACCCTTCTGCCAGCTCACCCAACCAAAAAGCTGAACCGAAGGACCATGGCTGCCCCAACGCATGGGTCAGGAGGGGATCTCGCCTGACCGCTCCTCACCTCCTCACATCGCGAGGCGAGCGGACCGGAAGAGGTCTACGTGGATGTGCGCGCGAAGCAGAAGCCAGAGCGAACCGACGAGGCCAAGCGGCGGCGCGTCGAGGGGACGGGACGAGGGTCTCTCAAAATGGGATTTGGAAAGGACCCCCCTTTTGGCTGGCAAAAATAATATAGCCAAAAGGAAACCATTACCATTTCAGGGGACCAGATGCGACCAGTGTTTCAGGAAAAGCCCAGGCGTGAAAACTAATATAGACAGATCAATCAACTCAATCGGCGGATAAGTAGGGGATGTTCTTCCCCCCCCCCCCGCCCAAAGAAAACCAAAATGACGGGTTCACAATAAAAACGGGACACCGTCCCTCAATCAAGCAAAAAACAAAAATGGCTTTTGGACCTGGCTTCGCCTTTGGACCCATCCTCATGCTTTCAAGCTGGTCTCCACCCAAAAAGTGCCTATGTCGCATGCCTAGAAGTCCCGAAAGACATAAGACAAAAGAGCTAATACAGGTCTAGCTTCGGTGAATATGGTGTGTGTGTGTGTGTGTGAGTGTAAGTCTATGCCATTTTGTGCATGTGTATGTGTCTGCATGTGTTATCGTGTGGCATGATGATCATGTTTTCTCGGGGGCAAGTTTGTGTTTGAAAGCTCCGGATCTGTGCAAACTGGATCTCTCATGTCGCTCTCCTGGAAGAGCGGAGGTTTGTGAGGGCAAAGCTTTCATTTTTGGGCTCTTGTGGGGTGAACTTGCGGTCCCGATTTGGTGGGCGCAACATGAAAGTCCAGAAAGATTTGGCCGTTCCCAGTGCCCCAGCGCTTTTCCTTGGGTTCAATTGCTGAGAGGATACTTCTGGCCAACACATGTCTTTAAGCTTGGGAACAAGAAGCAAAAGCAGCCCGGAAGTGCAGGTACAAGCAATTTTAAAGAACCCGCGCAGACTAACAGGACTAAAACAAAGAAAAAGGAACTTGTTTTTTTCGGGCGGTCATTTAAGGGCACACTGGGCCTAACCCTGCCAAGGGGTGGAAGGGGAGTTGCTGTGGTTTTGTTTGTGACAGGTTGCCAGAAGTCCCAAGGGCCCCCTGTGACCCCCTTATCTGGGGTAGACGTAGGATACATTTTACATTTTACCAGAGGCTCAAAGGGAAGCAAACAATAGAATATACATTCTATAACTGGGCCTAAGTCATGTTATCCCCTGTGACCGATTCCCAAAGCCTTTGGTTCGAAGATGAGTGCCGCAGGTTCTGCAGACCTGCTGCCGGGCCACGATCGAGCTGTTGGCCAGGCGGCTGTCTCGGATCGGGTTTCTGGGCGTGCGGATTTTTATTGAGGTTTCGGCACCACCTGCTCAGGTTTGTTTGGAAAATGAACAAAGGAAAACTTAAGCCATTTTGGACAGAAATTAATTCAAGGGAAAAAACCTACGCCATTTTTGGGGGTCCAAGTGCTATGTTGGACAAGTATTGTTGTGGAACTGCAGCAGGGAGCGGGGGAGCGGGCGGGGTGGGGTGGGTGGTGACCCCTGGAGATCTCCAGCGCGATGTTCCGCATACGAAGAAATTCGACGGTGCACGTGGCATTCTACTTGAGCGTGGTGGGGCTATGGTTTTTGTCGCTTCATGTTCCTAGGGCTCTGGCATACATTACTGAACCCATGGGCCGAGTGCATGAGCGGGGGTCGCCACAGGTCGCGACGGGCCCAGGTCTTGGAATCCTTGGGTTTTGGAGGGTTAGCGACCCAGGGATGGTGTTCCCCTCCTGGGAAGCCCCCCCAAAGCTGTCACTTTGGTTCCAAGCGTTGGCAGGTGCCCCCTGATTTTTTCTAAGCGGACACCAGAAAGAAGAACTGAGGCCTCCGTTACAGTTTGGGCTGATGTTAACCTAAGGGTGAGGAACACTATGTAGACACCTCTGGTACCAACCACCCAACCACTGCTTTCAGGTTTCCAACATTCAGCACTTGAATTCGAATCCGTTTCCCGAAACGGCGACACTTGGCAGGCACGGCCACTCCTCCAAAGTGCGCTTAGAGACGTATGAGCCATCGCTTCAGTTCACAGCAGAGTGATATTGCGAAGGAGTCATCCTGCCTATGCAAATATGGTTTCATGGTTCACCTTGGGTGGTGGTTGGAGCCTCACATTTGTTTTTGGCCGTGGATCCTTTTTTGTTGACTTTGGGGCACCGAAAGGAGCCCACCAATTACATCAAGGCAGAATGTGAAAAATGGACCTTGGTCTCAAGTTCCAGGCGTGTTGCTTTGTTTCATGCAATGATTCACTGATCTTCCAGGCCGTGTGGAGTTGCAACTCCACACTGACTTGTCTCAGGCATGGGACACTTGGCACTTGGATTTTCGCTAGCCGCATGGGTACACCTGGCCTTGTTTGAGAGGTGACGCCCGAGTGCCTGCAAGCCCCTTGCCACGTTCCCAGCTTCGCAAAAGATGAAGCGCCCGCAGCGCTCGGACTCGGAAGCTGCTTGCTTAAAAGGAGGCAGCGTCGCGCGAAATTAAAGCGAGCTCACCGATCGGGGGTTTCATGTGCTTATGACATCCGTTCCTGGAGGGGGGTCCCTGATTATTTCAGCTTTGCCCAGATTTGGTCGAACGGGCCTCGCGCAAAGAACCAAAGGTTCCTGAGATTCCGCGCGTGGTTCCAGCGGCAGACAGTGGCTTCCGCCTGGTCTTTGTTTTCTGATTAGATCTCACTCCCGGAAAATGCAACTTCAGTCGTGAACACACCGCCTGCACCTTTTTGTGCCAATCCAGTCAACACCTGAGATAAGGAACAAACCAAGCTCTTTTGGATAACCCATGGATAACCCATGGATAACCCAAAACACACAATTGTGCCTTCTGCCCGGCTACCTCGGCCACTGGGCAAGTAGCTTCTGTCTTTTGCGAGCGCACAGTCAGCGGAGTGAACTGTTGGGCTCAAGCGTCCAGCAGACTGTGCGTCCCCGGCGCAGGACCAGTTCTGCTGGGGGGAGGGGGGTGGGGTTCACAAGCGACAGATGTGCCTCAACATGTTGGACACCAAAACATGGGCTCGTTCCTGTTATGTTTTTGGAGCCACCCCTTGAAAAAAGTTTACCGTAAGACCCAGATCGCACTGCACTTCAGACATTCCAATCTTCCAAAGTTCCAGCCATTTGCCAGTCGACTCAGTCCGGGGCCTTTGAATTCTGATGAATTCCAGGGGTCAGAGTCACTCTGGTGCCTCCTCCAATTCCATCTCATAGGTTAGTGAAGGTAGTTTGAAAGACTTGTTTCACAACTTGACGAAACAAACAAATGTCTTGGCATAACGTATCTTTCTCCACATTTACCCACCATTTCCATTTCGTCTCTTCTTTTTGGTCTCGCTTTTGCAGGCGCAAAACATTTGTGCCTCCCATTGCCCGGTTGAAGGCCGGGCAAAGCGAGGAGCATGACTGGCCAGGCAGCCGCGGAGGCGTCAGCGGCTTTCCTTTGAAATGTTTTTTGTTTTTTTTGATTTCAAGGTTTAGAGGGGTTGGCCCATACAGGGGTCCCTATATTTCCCTTTTCGGCCAGTTCAAACATCACCTTGTGGCCACTTTCAGATGAGTTTCCTAATGGTGGGGTGATGTTTAAAGGGACATTTAGGGAACCCTGTGAAAGGAGGTTCAGCTGTCCAACTAGTCATACCAAGCTTTGTCAGCATGCACTCACGGCAAGTGAGCTTTCAGGCCGAAGAGGTCGCGTGTAAAACACGGGTCCTCAACAAACGCTGGATTTGGAGATTCCACCTTCATCTCTGCACCCTCCGAAATACAGTTTTTGGTCAAATGTATGGATTTCACGAAAATGCACGGAATTTTGCGGATAGTCGCAAAAACAGTGCCCTTGGTCCAGGCCTCAAGGTGTAGGGCAGACGTTGTATGAGCCCGAGAGGCCGACTCCACCATCCGACTGGATGCGTCTTCGACGCCAGAGCCTCGGTGAACGCCTGGGCGAAATCAATTGCAGAATGAGTCGTGGAATTGGGGGTTGATCAAAAGGTCCGTGATACATGGGATGACCATCGGGGAAAACCAAGAAACAAACATATATGTCTCATGGAAAAGTTTGCCATGGTCATTTGGCGACCCGGAAGATTGATCGAGCCCCAATTCATCGCCCCTGGACAAAATATCGGCGGATGGCGATGCCCCCCCACCCAACCCCACCCCACCCCACCCTTCCGGCTGAGGCTCAAGGAGAACTTTGGAACACGGGACAACTTTGCCACCTTGGATAGCACCAGGCTGAAGCCGAAGGCCATGGCATGTCGCTCTTGGGCTTGGGTCCGTTTTGGAGTCGGTGCCCCCCTGGTTGCTGTGAAAGGACAACCAAAACGGGGCTCCTTAAGAGATACATTTTGCCCACTTGAAACATGGCTTTTTCAACACCAAAATAAAGGGACACCACCATTTACAAGGCAATGTTCAGGTGTATAATGTAAGGACAAGCCACCCAAACCACCTGTGGAGCTGTGGTTTCAAAGAAGAACCAACCACCACAACCACCTTCGGAGCTGTGATTTTAAATCACCCAAACCACCTTTGGAGCTGTGGTCTTAAAGGACAACCAACCACCCAAACCACCTTTGGAGCTGTGGTTTTGAAGGAAAACCACCCACCAAAACCACCTTTGGAGCTGCGGTTTCGAAGGAAAACCAACAACCAAAACCGCCTTTAGAGCTGTGGTTTCAAAGGAAAACCAACTACCCAAACCACCTTTGGAGCTGTGGTTTTAAAGGACAACCAACCACCCAAACCATCTTAGGAGCTGTGGTTTTGAAGGAAAACACCCACCAAAACCACCTTTGGAGCTGTGGTTTTGAAGGTAAACCACCCACCAAAACCACCTTTGGAGCTGTGGTTTCAAAGGAAAACCAACCACCCATTTGGAGCTGTGGTTTAAAAGGAAAACCAACTACCCAGACCAGCTTTGGAGCTGTGGTTTTAAAGGACAACCAACCACCCAAACCACCTTTGGACCAAAACCACCTTTAGAGATGTGGTGTAAAAGGAAAACCAACAACCAAAACCAGCTTTGGAGTTTTGGTTTTAAAGAACCACCACCCACCAAAACCACCTTTAGAGCTGTGGTTTCAAAGGAACACCAACCAACCATTTGGAGCTGTGGTTTTAAAGGAAAACCAACCACCCACACCTTTGGAGCTGTGGTATTGAAGGAAAACCAACCACCCAAACCACCTTTGGAGCTGTGGTTTGAAAGGAAAACCAACCACCAAAACCACCTTTGGAGCTGTGGTTTAAAAGGAAAACCAACCACCAAAACCACCTTTGGAGCTGTGGTTTTAAAGGAAAACCAACAACCAAGGCCACCTTTAGAGTTGTGGATTTTAAGAAGAAACAACAATACAAACCACCATTTTGGGGGCTCCCAAATTAAAGACACGCCCTTATAGTCGCGCAGGCACAGTTTGCTCGCGAAGCGAACCGCGACGAGCCGTCAGATGTGGCGCTCAGGCGCACGACGCCGAATCGAGTGCAACTGGAGCGGGCATGTGGAGTGTCGAGTGAGGAGTAAATGATGTAGAATGATGTGCCAGGGTCCCGAAATCAGATTCATACCTTGCATGCTTATGCGTATGCCTATGCTTATGCTACTTTGCATGGGTCCTTTTTTGAAATGAGCCACGGGCGCTGAAGCGTAGGCGCTGCCGGGAGCTTTTGCGCACGGTGCCCATGGAGGAGAGGGCTTGTCAGCCGCTGGGTGCCCCCTGAACTCAAAGCGTGGCCAGACTTCGCGGAGTATTTTGGGCAAGTTTTGAGTTGTTGGTTCAACCAGGCAGCCAGTTCGCATTTTGGAGGAATTCTGGCTCAGAACCATAGACCATGGCAACAGAAGCAGCGGTTCGACGATGGCTAGCAGTGCAGAAGGAACAGCTGTAGTAGCATAGAGAGAATAAAACAAAGGTCAATCAGACATAATTAGCAACGCAACAAGTGCTGTGCTGAACATGGTCGCTGCTGACTTAGAAGCCAAAAGAAGCCTTCTGCAAGGAAGGATGTGTGTGTGTACATCAATACGTCTGAAAATATCAGGAAGGAAGCCAAAGACGTGGGAAAGGGCACGCTCTCTTCGCAGAGATCTGTCCAGCAGTTTGTTGCGATTTCTCGGCGGCAACTTTCCCGGCGCGCGAGCGGCCACTTCAACATTTGCGGGGAAGGGATATTGGGAATCAGGGGAATGCAACCTGCAAACTGAAAGACTCCAATCAAAACAGAACTCGGCAATCAATTTGTGAGTGTCCATGAACATTCCATGACCTGGTATTTCTGACCAGAGCATATCACAGTTTGGTCACCCAGATATCGTGCTTCGAACTGACCAAGGGCCATGATGCGGGGGTTCCAACATTTTCCCCAAATGGGTGTGTATCAAAACAGGTGGACCCCCAAACTGGCGGCTTTTCCTGTCGGTTCGCCGCAAAACCACCCCAGAACAGAGTACCATGTCAAGCCACTCGACCCCCAATAAATTCCAGGACTTGGCATCTGCTGATGAGTCCATGTGCAGCGCTCGAGCTAGATTTCGCTGAGGGGTGTGTGCGTGTGTGTGTGTGTGTGTGGGTGTGTGTCTGTCTGTGTGTCTCCTTTGTGTGTCTCTTCGCGTGTCTCTCTGTGTGCCTCTGTGTGCCTCTCTGGGTGTGTCTCTCAGTCTCTGTGTGCGCGTGTTTGTTTATATATTTTAGTCTTTTGGGGATGATCAGTAAAAGAGGGAAACCAAAAGGAAGACCGCATTTGTGGGCCCTCTATTTGGACACGTGCCCGTAGAGAACCTGACTGGTGGAAGATAGTCCAAAAGGAAGCTCACCAGATTTGGGAGGGTACGCGATGCGGGGGGGCGTATCGTGGCCAGAAGAGACCCTTTCCCATACGACATACAGTTTCCTGAAATGTGGGAACCCACGTGCAGTTGTGTGGATGGAAAAGCCTTTTCGTGGAAAAGGAGAAAGGAGCTGCACAATTTTCTTGAGGGCTTCCGTTTTGGAAAATGAGGGCCCCTGTACCAGGATGTGAAGTTCGCGAAAT